CTGAGCGCCGAAAATTTGATGCTTTTGAACTGTGGTGTTGGAGAAGACTCTTGAGAGTCCCTTGTATTCCAAGGAGATCCAACCTGTCAATCCTAAAGGAAATCAGTCCTGAATATTCATTGGAATGATTGATCCTGAAGCTGAAACTCCCATACTTTGGCCACCTGATGCAAAGAACCAACTCATTGGAAAAGACCCTGATGCTTGGAAAGATTGAAGGTGGGAGGAGAAGGGGATGACAGAGGATGAGATGGTTGGACGGCATCACCAATGCAACAGACAGGAGTTTGAGTAAGCTCCGGGAGTTGGTGATGGACAGGGAAGCCTGGCGTGCTGAAGTCCATGGGGTCACAAAGAATCGGACAGGACTGAGTGACTGAACTGAATGAAATGACATCTCACCATGACTGATTTCTTTTTCCCTTGTGATGTTGAATACTTTTCTGTGGGTTTTCCCCATTGTCATATCTCTTATGAAAAGCTTGCTGAAGTTGTTTGCCCATTTAAAATTTTGGCTTCTACTTTTTATTATTAAGGAGTTCTTTATATTTTCTGAGTTCAAGTCCTTTGTTATGTATACATTTTGGGAGTAATTTTTTCCATTCTGTGGTTTGTTTATTTGCTTTGTTAATTGTGTCTTTTTATATAATTTTGTGGTGAAATTTACATATAATTTACATATAATAAATATATTTAATCAATTCTGATAAACATACCCATGTTTATCTGCCTTAGTCTACATGCCTCAGTCTACATGTAGACCATTTTCATCACCAAAAAGTTTCCCTCATCCTCAGTTAATCCCTATCCCACATGCCTGACTATAGGCAGCAACTGATTTACTTTATGTCACTACAGACTAGATTCATCATTTCTTGAGTTTCATGTTAACAGAATTACACAGTATGTGCTCTTTCTGTGTCTGGCATCATTTGTTCATTTTGAACACAGGTCAGCTCCTTTTTATTGCTTCACTGTATTTCATTGCCTGTATATACCATAATTGGGTTATTCATCTACCTCCTGATGTGCATTTTTTATTGTGATAAAATATACATAGCATAAAATTTACCATTTTAACAATTTTTAAATGTGTGGTTCAGTACTTTTAAGTACATTCACACTGTTGAACACATCTCCAGAACTTTGTTGTTCTTCTCAAAGTGAAATTCCATACTCATTAAACAGTGGCTTCCTACCCCCTTCCCTCTACTGATCATAAGATTGAAGCTACATGTGTTTGGTGTTGTAGGAGGCAGTCCTTCAAGGACGTGTCTGTGACCTTCACCAAGGAGGCGCTGGGACTGCTAGACTTGGCCCAGAGGAAGCTGTACCATGAAGTGATGCTGGAGAACTTCTGGAACTTGGTGTCCATGGGTGAGGTCTCAGGGACTCAGTGTCAACCCTCAGGAGTGCCTTGGTGTCAACATGTTTCAGAGTTTGGGGCTCTTGAAATGCTTCCTTGCATGTGGGGCCTGAATTTCCTCCTCTTCATGGGACACCTTATTTATTCCTTGTCTGTTTTCTCAAATTGCAGTTGTAACATCTTGGTGTGGTTTAAAGTCAGTGAGTTGTATCATTATTGCATTTAATGAAATAGGACAGAAGTAGCATAGCTTGTCAGAAACTGCATATAGTGCAACAGAAACTGTGAGTAAAAAACAGGAAAGGAGACATGATAAAAGTAGTTAATCAGGGACTTCTCTGGTGGCCCAGTGGGTAAGAGACTCCATACTTCCAGTGCAGGGGGCACAGGTTCAAGCCCTGGTCAGGGAACTAAGATCCCACGTGCTGCAGGACATAGCCAAAAAAAAAAGAACAAAGTTAACTGTAATCTATTTAATCATGTAAAGTAAAATTTCTGTACAATATGAAAATAAAAACACATAAATGTTGAGATCTACAAAGCTGTAAAAGTAGAATCCTTTTTTTTTTTTAAGTAGATAATGGTTAGGATTTAGTCACTTGTTTCAGTGATATGCATCCGTTTATTTGCGTGCCCGATCACAACAGAAGAGGTATTTATTACAACAGGTCATGATCAGAATTTGGAAAAATACTGCTGAGAGTGCATGAAGATCATAGTATTGGAATTAAAAATTTTGCTTTTATTCACCTTACACATGTATGGTTACTTTTTCACAGGTTATCAACCCTTCACATTAGATATAATACTCCAGTTGGGGCGAGAAGAGCAGCTTTGGGTGATGGAGCCAGAAACCGAGGAGATGAGTGTTCAGGTGAGAACCATGGAGGTCTGAGCCCTTGCAGCTCACAGAGAGTGGTGCTAAGTGGATCTCACTGTCCCTTCCTCCTGCAGACAGCTCACGAGTAGAGAATAAACCACCGGTGTGATGAAAGGATTATTTCAGAACACAGTTCATAGTCTGATGAATGTCTAATTTAAGTTTAGTTTCTATATACCTAATTAGTCATCTGTTGCTGTATGACAACTTATTCTTAAATTTCTCAGCTTAAAACTATAGACATCACAGTTTCTGTGCATCAGGATTCTGGGGGCAGCCTCACAGGATGGTTCTGGCTCATGATCTCATAAGATCTCACAGTCTGCCAGAGCTGTGGTCCTCTGAAGGCTTGATGGGCCTGAAGGACGCTTCCAAGATGGGGTCATTCACAGAGTTGTGGGCAGGAGGCCTCAGTTCTACCCTGGCTTGACAGGAGAGGAGGCCTTAGTTCATTGGCAAACAGCCCTCTCCCTGAATGTTCTCAAAACACGGCAGCTAGTTTTCCCAAGGTACTTGCACCCAAGGGATTAGAAGGCAGAAACTGCAGTGTCTTTTATGGGATAATCTTGGAAGTGACGTACCAGCACTTCTGCCATATCCTATTTGGTTTCGCTCACCAATCCTGATATGTTGTGGAGGGGACTTCAATAGGGTTTTCATATCAGGAAGCAGGGATCATTGGGGGCTGTCTTATGTGCTGGCTACTACAGCATCTATTGGTTATTTGCTGATTCATATCAACAAAACCTGGAATATAATATTAGTCATTCAAGCTTATCAGAAAATCCAACCAAATTTAGCAGCAATAATTATCATAGGATTTTTTACTGCCATAGGATGTGTCAGCTAAGGGAATAAATTTTCTAGTTTTTTTCCTAGTTACAATGTTCATTAGTTGAATATTATATATTCAGACATCATTGAAGTAAAGAAGAACTCTCTCAAATCTCGCTTATGTATTGTGCTTGTGCTCAGTCATCTCCAACTCTTTGTGACCCCATGGATGCAGCCCTCTGAGCTCCTCTGCCCATGGGATTTCCCAGGCAAGAATACTGGAGTGGGTTGCCATTTCCTACTCCAGAGGATTTTCCCGACCCAGGGATCAAACTCACATCTCTTGCATCTCCTGCACTGGCAGGAGGATTCATTACCACTGTGCCACCTGAGGAGCCCAGCTTATGTATTAACATGTGCATTTAGTGGCTAAATTAAGGACAATAAAGTTATCATCTCATGGGTTCATTATCAGGACAGAGGAGATGTCTCCCAGTGCAAATATATTCTTTTCACTTTTGCTGAGAACGTCCCATGCTCTGTAGCACTGTATTTCTCATTTTGACCTCATGCATAAGTCTCGGCATATTAGTTCCTTTTTTAAAATTTAATTTTATTCATTCATTTATTTATTTTTAGGCCATGCCGTGCAGCATGTGGGATCTTAGTTCCCCAACCAAGGGACTGAACTGATACCCACTGCATTGGGAATGCAGAGTTTTAACCACTGGACCACCAAGGAAGTCCCATCAGTATACTACTTCTAAAGGAGTCTCATTATTACCTCTTTGTTTCCATAGGCATGATAAAATTAAGAATCCAGCCAAATGATCCACTGGTTGAATAGGATCTCCCAATACAGTCGACCTGTGAAATATCTTATATCCCTGAACTTGTCCTCACTTTCATCTCTGAACTTTTTATCCTTCTAGGACACAGGAATCAAAATGAAATAGAGACTCTTCAAGAAGTAGGACTAAGACACATTTTGCATGAAGGCCTTATGTGTGGGCAGATATGGGAACAATTCACAAATAAATTAACCAGGACTCAATAAGTCTGCAAGGCAAGAAGTCCAAATTGCTAAAACAAGTTGATTCCTCCTGTTGGGTGTGGGCAGGAGAATCTGCTGAGGTTGCTGAAGATGAGAACTGTGTGGGAAAGCTTCAAGGGGATAGTTCTAATAGTGTCAGCAATCAAGAGCTTCAAATTCAGACCTCCTGAGATTTCTGGAGGAAAATGGATCTGAGAGAGTCAGAATTATCAGAGTAGGTATCAGCAAACTGACATAAAAAATAAACTGTGGCCTTGTGATCATTGCATCATGAGAATGATCTCTTCACCATGGTGATCAGGAAGTACACAAAAGCAAGATGGCATTTGGCCACAATAATTGTGGAAAAGACTTTGTGAAGAACACATTCCAGCATAGCATCATCCACTCAGAAGGTCAGACCTCTGATGAGAATGGAAAAGGCATCAGCCTTGGCTCTGATCTTGAACTTCAGCAGCAGCTGCAAGTAGGAGAGGAACCCCGTATGTGTAGTAAGTATGGGAAGGGCTTGGGTCAGAGCTCACATATGCAAACCCACCAGAGAGCCAACCCAGGGGAGAAACCTTACAGATGTCTAGGTGTGTGCTGACTGCTTCAATCAGAACTCCTCCCTTCCTGCTGATGAGCCCATTCACCCCAGGGTGGATCTGTATAGGTGTGGCCAGTATAGGAAGGGCTTCAGTCATGTCTTAGACCTCAACAGTTGCTGTGTGGACAACACTGAAGAGAAATCTTGGAAATGTGAGCTGTGGTAAAGGCTTCAATAAGATATCACAACTTCAAGCCCATCAAACAGCCTACCCTAAAGACAAAACATCCAAATGGAACACATGTGACAGGATGTTCAGCCAGCGCTCTGGTCCTCTTCAGAAAGTTCACACTGGAGAGAAACCATATAAATGTGAGGTATGTGGGAAAGACTTCAGTAAGGCCTCATACCTTCAAGCCCATCAGAATCCATACCGGGGAGAAGCCCTACAAATGTGATGTGTGTGATAAGAACTTCAGCTGGAATTTCCATCTTCAGACCCATCAGAGAGTTCACACAGGAGAGAAACCCTAAAATGTGATATATGTGGCAAGGACTTCAGTCAGATTTCTCATTTTCAGGCCCATCAGAGAGTCCACATAAGGGAGAAACCCTACAGATGTGATATGTGTGGGAAAGGCTTCAGTCTGAGCTCACATATTCAAGACCACCAGTGGGTCCACACCCGAGAGAAAGCCTACATGTGCAATGTGTGTGGGAATGGTTTCAGTTGGAGCTCACATCTTCAAGCCCATCAGAGAGTCCATACAGGGAAGAAACCCTACAATGTGAAGAATGTGGGAAAGGCTTCACCTGGAACTGTACCTTCACATTCATCTGAGTATCCACACAGGAGAGAAACCCTATAAGTGTAGCATGTGTGGGAAGAGCTTCAGTCAGACCTCCCATCTTCATTGGAGGGTCCATTACAGGAGAGAATCCCTACAAATGTTTTGACTGTGGTAAGGGCTTTAGCAAGAGTTCTTGTCTTCAGGTTCATCAGAGAGTCCATAAGTAGTGATCAGTCCAGTACACATGACAAGTGATAAAAATTTCTTCAGAACTGAGACATGACATTTTCATCAGAAAACCTGCACAGCAGGGGCTATTTATAAAATGTTGTATTTTAAGAATTCAAGAGGAAGCTGTATTTTTTACAGTCATCTGAATTCCAATGAGGAGACCTACTTGTATGAGTATGGCTAGTGTGTCCAACAGAGAGCAAAATGTCACAGTTTTCAAGAAAATATACAGCAGAGAAGCCCTGTAAGGATGGTGCAGTGGGTTTCAATCAGAACTTTCACATTCAGTAGAATCTACACAGGGGGGGAAAAAAAAAGAATCTACACAGGGGAGGCTTTACAATTAGAAGTGCTCTTAGGACTTTAGCAAAAGTATAATGATGGACACAACAAAATCCATGTCCACTAGAATGTAGATTTCATAGAGGCAGGAAATCTGTTTGCTGCTATACAGTCATGACCTGGCACCAGTGCCAAACATAGCAGGTGCCCTGGAATTTGTATCACTCAAAGGATAGGAAAACCTACTATAAATAGGACAAACATTTGAAATTTTTAGTGCACTCAATCCCAGTTAATCACAATAAATTGTACTAGGAAAAAGATTCTTAGAAGAGGCCTTAAAGATTAATTCAAAGAAATAATCATTTAATAAAGATACATAAAATCATGCAATCTGCAATTTGAATGTTAGATTTTTTCCCATTGCATTCTGTCCTGCTTAGCTTCACTTTACAGGCAGAAAAGGACCCAAGTTTTTATCTTACCAGTTAAGACTTTGGACAGTGTACCATCAGTCATATGTAGTGTAAGTTTCGTTATTTTTCTTTTATTGGGCCCTTGGTGACAGGACCAGACTGAATGAAATAGAGAAAGTTGGTTTTCTTTCCATAAAATTTTGTGGCAAAGAGTGTACAAAAGGGGGAAACATATTAAAATGTGCATTCTGGATGCTGCACTAAGCTATTAAGGCACAGAATGTTTTGAACACTACTCTGTGTTTCTCAGATGCTTTCAAGTTTGCTTGGTTGAATGGTTTACTCAGGTGTACATTTACTGGAGGCTTTCCACCATTGTTTTATTGAAGTATAGTTAATTTACAATGTTGTATTACTCTCAAGTGTTCAGCAAATTGATTCATGTATATATTGGAATATTCTTTTTCACATTCTTTTCCCCTATAGGTTATTACAAAATAGTGAGTAGAGTTCCCTGGGCTATACAGTAGAACCTTGTTGTTCTCACAGTTTCTTCTGGGCCTTACCTTCCAGGACACTGGATACTTAAATTCTATGCTATCGCAAGTTTCATGTTACCAAAGAAATCCAGGGCCACCACCAGACCCTGGGGTGGGCTGCTCAGAACTCCTGGTGGTTTATAACCATTAGGATGTTCTCAATTGCAAGAAACAGGAAACTCAACTCAAACTAGCTGAGAGAATAAGGGGGATTATGTACTTAATTCAAAATCTTTTTCAGATAAGCCCAATATCTGAATTGGTATTGATGTCTGTTAATCGTTTTTTCTCATTCAAGTTCTGATTGTTCTGGTTCTTGGTATGATGAGTGCTTTTTTTGTGTGTGTGTGTGTGTGTGTGTATACTGGATACTTGAGGTATAATGCTTTGGACCCTATTTGATACTTTGTGGAAGGAAGTCACCTCTTTAGGTGTAGTACATAGGTCTAAGGGCTTCCCAGGTGGCTCAGTGGTAAAGAATCCATCTGCAGTGCAGGAGCCACATGAGATGTGGGTTCAATCCCTGGGTCAGGAGATGCCCTGGAGGAGGGAATGGCAACCCACCCCAGTATTCTTGCCTGAGAAATTCCATGGACAGAGGAGCCTGCCAGGCTATATTCCATTGGGTCACAAAGAGTTGGACATGACCGAAGCAACTTAGCACACACACACACACCAGGTCTTAGTTATGGCAGGTGGGATCTACTTCCCTGAAGTTGAACCCAGGGCCCTTGCATTGGAAGTGTGGAGTCTTAGCCACTGGAACACCAGGGAAGTATTCCCCCATATTCAGTTTAAGTGATATTCCTCAAGTCTACTTAGTTTATACCCAGGATGGAGGATTTACTGTGAGTAGGGGTGGGAAGAGCTCCAGAGAGATCCAATACGTTTATGTTCACTAGAGTCCATGAGAGGAGAAGCCCTACAAGTGCTGTGTGTGTGGAAAGGATATTGCATAGAGCTGAGTTTTCACATTCATCTGAGGGTTCTTTCAGTAGATGAATCCTGTAAGTGTAATGAATGAAACAGCCATGAAGGTGATGAGTGGAATAAGGGTTGATTTGGAATTTAGATCTTCGTGTCCATCTCAGAACCCATGAGCTTCCCCAGTGGCGCTGGTGGTGAAGAACCCACCTGCCAATGCAGGAGATGCAAGAGAAGTGGGTTCAATCCCTGAGTCAGGGAGATTCCCTGGAGGAAGGCATGGCAACCTACTCAAGTACTCTTGCCTGGAGAATTCCATGAACAGGAACTTGGGGGCTACAGTCCATGGGATCTTGAAAGAGTCCGACACGACTGAGGTGACTTAGCACACATACATGCACAGAAGCCACGAGAGGCTCCATGCATATGAAAAAGATATTAAGGACTTCAAGTGAAACTCATACCTTTTTATTTATCAGAGGTGCATGAGGAAAAGAAAAGCATGTATATGTGAAGAGTTTATTGCTTTTAATAACAGTTCAGACCTCACTCATCAGAGCCAGCACAAGAGGACAGAAATTCTATGCATATGGTCAGTACTTGTCAGGGTTCAATAGAGAAACAGATGCCACTCTGTATATTCTAGGCATGAATGCTTTTTTCTTGTTGGGGGGGGGTGGGTAATAGGGTTTTTTTGGCCCTGCTACGTGGCATGTGGGGTCTTAGTTCCCCAACCAGGATCAAACCTGTGCCCCTTCAGTGGAAGCTCAGAGTCCTAACCACTGGACTGCCAAGGCTGTGTTAGTTTCTGCAGGCACAAATGCTTTTAATGCAAGCAATAAGAGGCACACACAGCTTCGGCAGAGTTGAGGGAATGGTGGTAGGCAAGCCAGTGGCAGCCTGCAGCACCAAGTTCGGTTCTCAAGAGCTTTCTCTCTCTTTTTTTAAAAACTTTATTGTATTTATTTATTTTTGGCTGTGCTGAGTCTTTGTTGTTGGGCAGGCTTTCTCTAGTTGTTGGGTGGGGGCTACTCTGTAGTTGTGGTGCTTGGGCTTCTCATTGTAGTGGCTTCTCTTGTTTGCAGAGCATGGGCTCTACAGCACAGGCTAAATAGTCGTGGCATATGGGCTTAGTTGCTCTTTGGCATGTGGGATCTTTCCAGATCAGGGATTGAACCCAAGTGTCCTGCATTGCTCACAGATTTCTTTACCATCTGAAACACCAGAGAAGCCCAGGAAACCCCTCTAGAGGGACCCTAAACTGTGACAAAACAGCACAGACAGAACTGACCCTTATTTGGTCCAATGAGTCTTTCCAACTCAACACCCAGAATTGCCAGATCTCTGTGCGGCCCCCAGGTACAAATCAGAAGGCATCTGATGATCCTGGTGGCAGAGAGAGGAAATCAGGAGTTGAGAGGGGACGCTCCTTTAAGTAAGGATAGACGCTAACAAGAATGGGCATCCCCGACAGCTCAGCGGTAAAGAATCCACCTGGCAATGCAGGAGATGCAGGTGGTGCAGGTTCAGTCCCTGGGTCAGGAAGATCCCCTGCAGGAAGGCATGGTGACCCACTCCAGTATTCTTGCCTGGAGAATCCCATGGACAGAGAAGCCGGTGGGTTACAGTCCATGGGCTCACATAGAGTTGATCACGACTGAGGACGGAGTACTAACAAGAATAGGGAACACATCTAAATGCTTACCATGTGCCTACCAAAGATCCATGTTTCATGTATAGTCACTGTGTTATGCCTCCTGAAGACCTAGTGAGGAGGTTCTGGTTTTCTTCCTTTTATCCAGGTGAAGCCCAAAGAGGTAGCAAGTCACTATTAAAGCCTCAAAGAGGGACTTACCTGGTGGTCCAGTGGCTGAGGTGCCACCTTTCAATGCAGGGGGTGCAGGTTCTATCCCTGGTCAGGGAACTAAGATCCCACCTGCTGCGTGGTGCAGCCAAAAATAAAACCCCACAAAATGCCCTCAAAGTTAAGGCTCCAGAAACCACGCTCCTCCCTGTGTTACACTCTCCAGCAAGCAGATCCCATGTCAGCAGGAGCTTTCCCCTTTTCTATGTGTCTGTCCTTTATTCCTTGTGGCTGACTGAGTTAGTGCCCCCTAAAGATGTCCTGACCCCCAAGAACCTAGACATGTATTCCCTTATGTGGCAAGAGGGACTTTGCAGGTGTAATTAATGTCTGGAGATGGGGAGAGGAGCTTGGATGATCCAGGTGGACCCAATGTAATCACAAGCGTCTTAGGAGAGGAGGGCTGGCTGGCTGAAAATAGCAGGCACCTGGCTTTAAAGATGGCGGAAGGGACCGCGAGCATCGCCGGAAGCTGGAAGAGCTGAGA